CAAACTGCTGAGATTTCAGGCTGAGCCACCACACCCAGCTTCACTGATTCTTAAAGCAGGGTCTCATATCTCTCTTCCAGTATAATAGAGCTTCTGAGGGTAGCTGCCTTCATCGTCTATAGGAGGAGGCCCCACCCCCTAAATGGTTTTGATCATATTGTTTCTGAACATTTTAACAATCAGCTCAGGCTTAAGTTACAGCTACCTTGATTATCTCCAGAGGAAGAGTGGCCTTTAATGCTCCAAAAGTTTATCGTCTTTATTATTATTTTTGAGACAGAATCTTGCTCAGCCACCCAGCTGCAGTGCGGTGGCATGATCGGCTCAGTGCAACTCTGCCTCCTGTGCTGGAGCGATTCTCATACCTCAGTAGCTAGGAATACAGGAGTGCACCACCACATCTGGCTAATTTATATATATATATATATATATATATATATATATTTTTTTTTTTTTTTTTTTTTTTGAGATGGAGTCTCGCTCTGTCGACCAGGCTGGAGTGCAGTGGCGCAATGGAGTGCAGTGGCGCGATCTCGGCTCACTGCAAGCTCTGCCTCCCAGGTTCACGCCATTCTCCTGCCTCAGCCTCCCGAGTACCTGGGACTACAGGCGCCTGCTACCACGCCCGGCTATTTTTTGTATTTTTAGTAGAGACGGGGTTTCACAGTGTTAGCCAGGATGGTCTCGATCTCCTGACGTTGTGATCCGCCCGCCTCGGCCTCCCAAAATGCTGGGATTATAGGCGTGAACCACCGTGCCTGGCCGTTTATCCTCTCAAGGATGGTCAGGGTGACATTTTGGTGTCTTTCTCTCTAGACCCGAGAAAGCATAAGTTATATCTTTAGTGGGACTTCTTACCATAGGGTTAATAATAATGTTTACCTTAGAAAATTATCGTTAGAAAGAAATGACATAATACCTGCAATAAACTAGCATGGTACTGGAGACGTGTGTTCACATTTGTTGGTTTTTATTATTATACTGATAATTCTGGTGGGAATTAAGCACATCATTATAATCACATAAACTCAAAGTAAGAATCAGAAATCCATGGTAACCTTGAGGGCCATCAAAAGTCATAGACACCGTGCACAGCTTTCCGATTTTTCTAGTCTTTTTCTTGCTTCTTCCCCTACTTTCCCCCGCAGTTTGGTCCCCTATGATTTAGGACTACTAGTAGGGTGACCAGTCCTATTAGCTGAGTTTGCATTGAGCTGAGGGATTCTTGGAAGGAATGTAGGACTTTCAGTGCTGACATTGAGAAAGTCTCCTGAAAATGAGGACAAGTTGGTAACCCTAATCCCAGCGGTGCTCATCACATGCCTCAGCACTCCAGGGCCTTCTGAATTAAAGAAGCAGCCAGGCAAAGTGTCAGCTTGTCTTGGCCTAGAAGCCCAGACCTTGTAATTCAGAAGAAAAGGGAAGGGGTCAGTTCTGCTCTCAACTGTGTATAAAGGGAAAAAACCCACCATGTATATTTCGACAATGCTCATGGAGGAAATTCAGAAGTGGTCATTTTAGGTTAGGGTAAATTCAGAAAAATGACAGAGTCAAGAAAACATTATCCCAGGGGTCAAGGATGACTCGAGCTCTGCCTACTGAACTCTTCTTTGTGCCAGTCTCGCTAATCTTATGTTCAGGAAGAGTTTTCATTAGAAAATACCACTAAGGGCCAGGCGCAGTGGCTCACGCTTGTAATCCCAGCATTTTGGGAGGTCAAGGCGAGTGGATCACCTGTGACCAGGAGTTTGAGACCAGCCTGGCCAACATGGCGAAACCCTGTCTGTAATAAAAATCCAAAACCTAGCCCTGTGTGGTGGTGCACACTTATAATCCCAGTTACTCAAGAGGCTGAGGGACGAGAATCACTTGAACCCGGGCAGTGGAGGTTGCAGTGAGCCGAGATCGCACCACTGCACTCAAGCCTCTGTCTCAAAAATGAAAACAAAAATAGACTACTAACATTTTTCAGTTGTGAGAATATAAAAAAATCTCCATCTTAACCGTTTTACGTATACAGTTCAGTCATGTCAAGTACATTCACATTGTCATGCAACCATCACCACCATCCATCTCCAGAACCCTTTTCATCTTGCACAGCCGAAACCCTGTGCTCATTAAATAGCTCCCTCAGCCACTGGCAGCCACCATCCTACTTTTTGTCTCTATGAATTTGACTGCTCTGAGTACCTCATATGACTGGAATCAGACAGTATTTGTCTTTTTGTGACTGGCTCATGAGAAACACTTTTGAGATGACTGGTTGGAATTAGGAGCAGGTGGCACCACAACTGGTCCAGGCCTCTCATCTCCTCATTCTTCTTTTTCCCTGTTCCACCAATACAACAGCTGTGGACACATGGGTCTCATCTTTGCAGTCCCTAACACAGTGGTTTTCAACCTTGTTTACACATTAGAATCACCTGGGAAAGTTTTCAAACTACTCTTGCCTGGACCAGATTCCCCAACACAGTGGTTTTCAACCTTGTTTACACATTAGAATCACCTGGGAAAGTTTTCAAACTGTTCTTGCCTGGACCAGATTCCAGGTTAATTATATCAGAATGTCAGGGAGTGAGTGCTTACATATGCATCGTTTAGAAAACACCTAGGCATCTCAAATTTGCAGTGGAAATTGCTGTCCACAGCAAGTTGATGAGCTGAAATGTGGAATAACAGTGGGTGAATCAAAAGAGTGTAAAGTAGATGGTCTTTAAGGTCTTTTTATATTGTAAAATGTGCAAAGTCATGTAGTATCTTTCTAATTCTCACCCAGCAGTGGTTGAGTGGATTCACCTATACCTGAGGGGAGCTGGGCGGACAGTCTCCTTGCAGTGTTGCTCCCCCTGCAGTTCAGTTATATGTTACGACCACTCCACTTTAGAACCCTCTTAGTCACCCATGCAGGCGCTGGACATTGTCATTCCCCTGTCACATGCATTCAACAAATACTTATTAAGATGGCTTGCCTCTCCTTTTAAAACACGGAAGCCAAGAGATAATGATAATTGTGCTCATTCCATTGACTTCTAAAGACCGTGAGATTTGTGAATAATTTTTTAAGGCCGAATGAAGGACGTTGCAGGAATATTGATTCTAGCTTTGTGCAAGAAATAGTTTTCTGCAATGAGAGTGGTTTAATAGAATGAGTAGCCCTGTGAAAAAGTGATTCCCTCGGTTCTAGTGCTACACGTAATTGGAATACTGACTATAATGGATGCCGGAGGATAAGATTCCCAAAGTAGAAGAAACTAGACTGACTTATGAGGCCCTTCTAATTCCAAAATGCATAATTTTAAAGCCAGATAGTAGAAGAACAATGTAAGATGCAGGAATGGCTTCTGAGCTGAGAAATGAAGCAGCTCTAGAGTTTTGATTATTTCGGCCTTCAACCACGTCCCAAGGACGGAGTTATTACTGTAAGATAGCCAAAAATGAATACAAGTGGGTCTCGTTATCAAGAAAATTCATTATAGCACATAAGAATCAGAACTTCTGAAGAAGAATTAATTAGGGGGTTGATTATTTGCATTGCAAAATAATTCCTGACTTCATGAATCATTTTTGGATACTAGAGTTCCTGTGAGCATCTTAGTATGGATTTATAGGTCACGAGTCACTTAGCCAAAGTGCTTGGGAGAGTAAACTCTTAACTATAAAGAGCTAACCACCACTCTTTAGTGCTTATTATTTCCTAATTGTCATTAGGAAAACGATATAGTTTCACGACACATATGTAGACACTCCATCAGAAAACACAAAACACCAGAAAATTCAATGCAGAAATAACTACAATTTCTTGAGTACTATATAATGTGTCAAATATATCATTGCATTTAATCCTCACATAATCCTTGTAAAGCAATATATTATTATCTCAGCTTGGTGAAGTAATTTATTCAGGAGCAACAAATGACGTACAACCCAAATCTTTCTGATTCTTTCCCTTACACCGAGTTACCCCAATCAACATCTCTCAGAACAAACTTGCTCACAAACAGCTTGGAGACCATGTGTGTTTGGATGAATTTTTGCCCTTAAAATGTTTTCAGTATGTGTTGCCAGTGTTTAAATGTTAGATTTCACGTAAAAGTCTGGATGTCCTGGCTGTCTCAAAGAATCAGAAGTTCTGGAAGTCCTGTCCCTGCAGTCCTGATGGTGACAGGCTGGGTGGGTCCTACCTCAGCGGGGGCTTGAGTTCTGCAGGTTGTGCTTCTTCCTACCCCTCTGTGTTGCATCCTCCGAAGGAAAGCGAGTGTCATCTGGGATTTATCCCCTCCCATCCAGCCCTCATTGCTCACATTGTTATCTTCCTGGCACCAGTTGTCACTGCATTTGCAACCCCAAATAAAATCTCTCTTCCACTTCCCTTGCCTAATTCAGATCCCAAATGCTCTGGTTCTGTATGTCTCCAAGTAATTTTTGCATTGTTCTCATTTCCCAAGAGTAGTTGGGCTTAAGGAAAATTCATCATAAAATTCTTCTGCACAGAAGTAGTTCTATGACATTGTTTCCTCTCCTGTTGGGGAGTTTTTGCCTCTGCACTTAATAGCCCTTCTTGTTTTCATTTCTTCCCGCTCCTGGAGGGCCAGGTTTGGTGTTACTGGTGATGGTGGGGGAGGAAGAAATGCCTTCAAGTCATCTCTGGGATGACTAATGAGCTATGACCAGCAAGCTGGGACCACTGAGCTGGTGGAATGGCCTTAGTGAGTAACAGACTGCAGTGATGTGTCAGCTTTCTTCTGGCCCAGGAACAGTCAAATCTTTTATATTTCAGCGGCCTGGTTCCCAATAGACCCTGCAGGCCCTACAGGTCATCTTCCCAAGCTGCCCCTTGCTCCATACCACCCCCTTCCACCCCAAAATATTATAGAAGGACACCTAGCCAGACAAAATGATACAACTTAATTTTATTAGGACATGGCTGGTGGGCACTGGAGTGGCACCTTCCGGAGCCAGGAGAGGCACTGGCAAGGGGTCACAGGATGCCACACGGGCACCTAGAAGCCACAGCTGCCCTCCACAGAGCGGCACTGCACCATGCGCAGGAATGTCTCGACCTTGTTCATGTCCTTCCTGAAACAGTGGAGCAGCCAGTAGTTCTTGAGCAGTGTGTCATCATTGTGCGAGTTTGTGTCAAACGTGCTGTAGGTCTGCTTGAAGATCTGCCCAGTCCGGGGGCTACCATCTTCCAGCCTCTGCAAAGTGAAGGAAGAGAAGGAGAGGCCAAGTGCTTGGTCACTGTTCCCTCCCTGTCTCATTCATTCATTTTCCTCCCTCCCCTCCAAGGGAGAAAGGCCTGGAGGATTCACCAGGGGAAATGAAGAATAAGGTGAGTTCTCTTGGGTCAGTGCCTGACTGCTAAAAAGAGGGCAGCAGTGTTTCTCTCCCCCAGCCCGCGAAGCCAGTGAGGTTCCAGGGTTGGGGACCCCCTGGCGCCACCCTCACCCCCATCAGCGTTTGGATGCCTTCCTCTAGGCTTTTTAGGAGGTCATAGACGTCGCTGTCTGAGGTGCCATACACCAGCCTGTTGGCAAACACACTCCTGAGGAACTGCACGGGCTCCAGCCAGGACTGGATGAGCAGTAGGGAGATGTGGAGCAGCTCTAGGTTCTGCAGGGGAAGGACCGGAAGTGGCTGTGCTGCCCGTGGCTCTGACCACAGGCCTCCCCCATCCCCGCCTGGGGGAGAAGGCATCCACTCACGGATTTCTGTTGTGTTTCCTCCATGTTGGAGGGTGTGGGAATAGACTCTGAGAAGCAGAGGGAGGTCTGGGGGTTCCGCAGGAATGAATACTTCTGTTGCTTTGGGATATAGGCTTCTTCCTAGGAGGAGGACCCCGCCACCAAGAAGGACTGCCGGTTTCTATGCTGGAGACCAGCTCCCATTGTTACTTTTCTGGGAACCTCACTCAGCATATGCTCATCTTCCTGCATTTTCGCTTCAGAAAACAACCCTGAACTCCTTAGTCTCCTCCCATGACTTCCCAGGGGGGAAAGTCACCCCTTCTTGCCACCCCAGACGCGCACCCATTCCCCAAGAGCTTACAAACTCCTGGTAGGTGTCAAAGGCCAGCCGGTGCAGGCGATAGGCGTGGATCATAGCGTTGTCAAAAAGCCTGGATAAGGGTACGCTTGGGACCCTACCAGCCTCTTGAAGCCAAGGCAGGCAGAGGAGGGCAAAAGCCAGGAGCAGGGACGTCTGGGAGCCTGGGGAGAAACCGGAGGACAACGGAGGAGGCCGAGAGCAAGAGGCCAGCACTGTCCCTGGCCCAGGAGCTGTTTTTTTTTTTTTTTTTTCCTCTCTCTCCATCCCTCCAGGGTCCAGGAACATTGTGAGATTGGCCAAATATCTGGGCTTAGATGGTGATACTCACATTCAGAAGCCCCAAACCTGAGGATTAGTTTCCCCGTCCCATCTACAGGGCGCCGCCCCTTCCTTCGGGACACATCGTGTGGAAATGGATTTTACGGGCGCTTACCTGCAGCCATTGCAGCTAGGTGGGCTGTCCACAGGACCCTGAGTGGTTCGGGGAGTTGGGCCTTGGGATCCTGGAGTGGTCTCTTTTGGGCCCTTTTTATACCCTAGCCCCTTATCTCTCGCTGCTTGACCCCACCTGTTTCTCTGTACGTTTATGCATGGGACCACTGACGTGCCTGTGCTAATGGCTAATTTAGAAGCTCCTCCCACACATGCTGGCATCATGCCCCCTGGCTTGTCATGTTTCCCTTCCCACCGTCACCAACACTGTGTGGGTTGTGCACAGAGTGTCAGCCAGAGATATCACCCAACTTGTCCTCTCTTTAAGGAGAAGGTGGGTGCCCTCTGGCAGCACGCCATGGTGGCCAACCTCAACGCAGGGAAGGATATCAGTATAGCCCGTCCTTGAGACCCATACTGACCCTATCCCACTCTCTATCCTATCCCTTTCTTCCACCCCGCATGGTTCCCCTCCACCAAGCAGAGAGAATGTGTGTGTTGCGAAATGGGGCCAAACACAGCCAATAAATTGTGGGGGTTCTGGGCACGATTCAGTCCTGAATTCCACTTTTGCTGACTCCTCCTGGGCCCGCCTGAGGCAGCTGGATGCAGTGCTAACACTGACCACTAGAGGGAACCAACCCTGCCCTTTGCTCTCCCCTTTCCCTGAGCCTTTGGGGGCTTCCCCAGGTCCCTGGGGATGAAGAACCCAGACTCAAGGTATTGCCCCAGCTCCTTGGACCGGCAGCAGAGATACAAACCAAGAAACAGAAATCCCGGGGACAGACAGGAACCACAAGCGTTTCCTCCCCTAGCCCTGATATCTTCAGAGAATCTCAAAGTTAGAAGAGCTCTTGAAGGTTTGAGTGTCTTTCCCGGTTTTGAAACTCAGAACACATCAGGCCGAAAGACGCCCTATGCAGCCGTGGAAGCCCCTCCTCTTTTTTCTCCTCCTCCTTTCCAGATCTGTATAGAGCTTATCCAGTTGCCAAGGGCCTGCCTGTGCATTCCCACGTCTGACCTTGTCTTGTGAAGGAGGTATTATTATCACCCCATTTCACAGGTCAAGACACTGAGGTTAAGAGAGTCTGACTACATGAGCTACCTCAGCCAGGGCAGTCGATCTCCACAACCTTGCTCTCTTCCCACATTGTGTCATTCAAAGTCCTTTCTCAAGGCGTGGCACGGTGGCTCATGCCTGTAATCCCAGCACTTTGGGAGGCTGAGGTGTGTGGATCAGCTGAGGTCAGGAGTTCAAGGCCAGACTAGCCAACATGGCAAAACTCCATCTCTCCTAAAAATACAGAAATTAGCTGGGCATGGTGGCACAAGCCTTTAATCCCAGTTATTCAGGAGGGTGAGGTGGTAGAATCGTTTGAACCCAGGAGGCAGAGTTTGCTGTGTGCCAATATCGTGCCACTGCACTCCAGCCTTGGGGAAAGAGCAAGTCTCCATAGAAAAAAAAAAGTCCTTTCTCCAGAGCAGGTAGTATTGTGCTACTCAGTTACATAGTTATTTTAGTTTCTTTCTCCTTCCTTCCTTCCTTCCTTCCTTCCTTCCTTCCTTCCTTCCTTCCTTCCTTTCTTTCTTTCTTTCTTTCTTTCTTTCTTTCTTTCTTTCTTTCTTTCTTTCTTTCTTTCCTTCCTTCCTTGTTTCTTTCTCTCTCTCTCTTTCTTTCTTTCTCTTTCTCTCTTACTCTTTCTTTCTCTCTCTCTCTCTTTCTTTCTTTTTTTTTTTTTTTTTTTGAGACGGAGTCTCGCTCAGTCACCCAGGCTGGAGTGCAGTGGCACTATCTCGGCTCACTACAAGCTCCACCTCCCGGGTTCACGCCATTCTCCTGCCTCAGCCTCCCGAGTAGCTGGGACTACAGGTGCCTGCCACCTCGCCCGGCTAGTTTTTTTGTATTTTTTAGTAGAGACGGGGATTCACCGTATTAGCCAGGATAGTATCGATCTCCTGACCTCGTGATTCGCCTGTCTCGGCCTCCCAAAGTGCTGGGATTACAGGCTTGAGCCACCACGCCTGGCCCTTCCTTCCTTCCTTCCTTCCTTCCTTCCTTCCTTCCTTCCTTCCTTCCTTCCTTCCTCTCTCTCTCTCTTTCTCTCTCTTTCTCTCTTTCTTTCTTTCTTTCCGTCTTTCTTTCTTTCTTTCCGTCTTTCTTTCTTTCTTTCTTTTCTTTCTTTCTTTCTTTCCGTCTTTCTTTCTTTCTTTCCGTCTTTCTTTCTTTCTTTGGAGATGGAGTCTCATTCTGTTGTCCAGGCTGGAGTGCAGTGGCATGATCTTGCCTCACTGCAACCTCCACTTCCTGGGTTCAAGTAATTCTCCTGCCTCAGCCTCTCTAGTAGCTGGGTTTACAGGCACCCTCCACTATGGCAGACTAAGTTTTGTACTTTTTTATTAGAGATGGGGTTCACTATGTTGGCCAGGCTAGTCTCAAACTCTTGACTTTAGGTGATCCACCCTCTCTGGCCTCCCAAAGTCCTGAGATTACTGGCATGAGCCACCGCTCCTAACCCAGTTATTTCAGCTTCTAAATCCCTCTGAGTGCAGGGATCCTGCCCCCAACACAAGGGGATCTTTGCCTCATTTTGTCTTTCCATAAGGGGCAGATTGTTCTTTATTCCCAGGTGAGAATAGCGCAGTGGCATGGGGTGCCTTGTGGAAACCTCACAACAGGACAAGGTGAAGGCAGAGAAAGCCAGGACTGAGCCTCCTGTCTCCTGGTGCCCAGGGTTGGGGTTGTTTCACTGTCATCTGGAGGTCACAAGCATCAGATGCCCCCAGAGATGAGAGCAGGAAAGAACATCCTCACGGGCACTGAAATCATGCCCCGCTGAATTTAAGAGCATCTAGCACTTGACGCTGTAGAAACACAAGCAAGGAAACAAGGAAACGTTTCTAGAAGTGGTTGACTGTGGTGTTGGCAACCAACATTGAAAACCCACAGCCCTGTGGCCCAGGATGTGAATGCTGTGGCCCTGCCATCTCCCCACTTTCAGAGCAGAAGACAGGGCTCCTTTTTCTGCCGTCATTCCCGAAGCATTACCCGACCAGCGCCCCAGACTCATCATCTGCTGGGAGTGCACTGGGCTGTGGGCTGTTCTCCAGGCAGGGCTGCAGGAGGGTCCAAGAGCAGTGTCATCAATGGTACCAGCTCTGAGAAAGATGGGGCCAAGAGAGGGTGCACACACCACTTTCCCCATTCTCCTTCCAGCACCAGCAAAGAAGAGGAGCCAGGTGGGAACGGAGGAGGGTCCCTGAGCTCCACGTAGCTTCTGCCTCCCCCACCATCCTTTCTCCAATGTGAACTGGGACAGACGGCACCCCCATGACAGGGTCTTTTAGCCAGTGCTGGGGACTTAGATGTGGATTTTCGGCCATGGAAGAAGTCTCCAGCTGCCCTTAGGAATGAGGGCAGCAGGGGCCCTAACTGGGGACCACTCCAGAACTGCGCAGGTGGGCACAGGGCTGGCGAGGCTCCCCAGACAGGTTACTGCCAGAAGCACGTGGGATCAGCCAGGGCAGGGGAGTGTCTCTTCTCACCTCTCCACTTCTGTTGACCCCAGAGTTATGGTGACTCAGAGGACTCCAGGGACCCCTGGGGAAACAACTTTACAAAGGGTTACCATGGCAACCATGGACCAGAGGGAAGAACTGAGGCCCACAGGTGTGGGTAGAAGTTCGTTATCCTTTTTCTCTAGTCTCGATCTTCCCAGGGCCTTGGAGCAATGGAGACCATGTCCATCATTCATTGCTAGTAAAAAATCAACTTTGAGGTAGACTTGGGATTTTCCTGACAGTCCTGGGAAGTGGCCCACTGTTGGGGCATCACTTGGGGCCAGATCCCTGGCTCCTGCAGGCTGAGAGACTACCCAACAAGAGCCTCCGCATGGCCAGTGGGGAGAGACTGGGCTTCGCACTTCTGGTATCAGCTTCAAAAGGCTCAGGATAGGTCAGATGCGGTGGCTCACAGCTGTAATCCTTCCACTTTGGGAGGCCGAGGCAGGTGGATCATGAGGTCAGGAGTTCAAGACCATCCTGGCCAAGATGGTGAAACCCTGACTCTACTAAAAATAGAAAAATTAGCCTTGCGTGGTGGCACTGCCCCTGTAATTCTAGCTACTGGGGAGGCTGAGACACAAGAATTGCTTGAACCCGGGAGGCAGAGGTTGCCGTGAGCCAAGACTGCACCACTGCACTCCAGCCTGGGCGACAGAGTGAGACTGACTTTGTCTCCAAAAAAAAAAAAAAAAAAAAAAAAAAGAAACAAACAAAACAAAAGAAAAGTAGAAAAATCCCCATCTCTGAGTTCACCATTACCTAGCTCCTTATCCACTGAGATGCAAAAATGGGAAGCAGGGGCCCCAGGGCCACCAGGGACAGAGCAGCATTATCATTTAGTCTGAATCCATAAAAACAACCTAGGTTTCATCTCGGACTCCCTGCTCATAGGGAAGGTGGGAAAGAAGAGTTGGCAAAAAGCAGGGAGCTGCTAGTGCTCCCTCAGGAAGGAAAACTGTTGGGTGGAGTGGACAGCATTTGGGTGAGGGGAGGAGAGGGAGCAGGGTGTGAAGGGAGGGAGGGAGTGTGGTGCACTGAACTCGGCTGTTTGGGAAACTGTTTTTGTAGACAAGCCACGGTTAGAGGAACCCGTTGCTCTGGCAAACAGACCTCACTGGAAGGGATGGAACACATGCTCGCCTGTGTCCCAAAGGGAAACCCAGCTTCAGCCTTGGTGTGTACCCGGAATGGGGGTGGTCGTTGACTTTGAAGTGCCACAGAAGGCAACCCAGAACCACACCGGAACCTACTGCTGCACAGTCACTAACCAGCTGGGCTCTGTCAGCAAAGACATTGCTGTCATTTTTCAAGGTAACCTTTGCTGCCCTGCTGTCAGGCGCAGGATGGAAACCCCTTAGGGGTTTGGGATTCTTAACCAAATGTGAAAATCAGAAAGATTCTACTAGGTTGGGAAGAATGAGACTCAGAAGTGGGCCTGGTGGGCGATGGT